CAGGCTGGCCTCGAACTCACAGAGATCCGCCTGCCTCTGCCTCCCGAGTGCTGGGATTAAAGGCGTGCGCCACCACCGCCCGGCCTGAATCCTGATATCTTTAAGCATAGGTAAAATCAATGAATTTATATAATTTGTTAGGATTTAATTATAAGATTATGATGAATATTTGATAATGAGTAGCTATAACAGCCTAAGTCAGGAAAGTTTAAATACTAATATGAGAAATGCATGTGATGTGAGGACATGTAAGAACTAATTTTTTGTTGATTTTAAAAGTGCCTTGTTGTGTATTCATTCTTCTAAAATCTGAAAAACATATAATATGGTTAGAAATCAAGATATTATGTCTATATTTTAAGAATTAAGTTAATAAAACTATTACATTTTTGCTATTTCAAGTACCTTTCAAATGGCTGTATATTAGTTCTTTTTAAAATAATTTGAAAGCAATTGCATTTAAATATTTTCTTATGTATAATCCCTAATTGTAGGCCATTTTCTCTATTATAATATAGAAAAATAGAAGTAGGGTTCGTCTTTCTACATATTTGGTGTAGTAATTCTGATGTTCACTTGAATGTGTGACCCACAGAACTAATAAACGTCAGAAAAAAAATGAGCATATAAAAGAAAAGCACTTGCAAAGTAAAGAAAGTACAAAACAAATGTTTGATTAATGACTAGAAATGTATATTAGAACAGAAAAACAAGTTAAAAATAAGCAATCATAAGTACCTTTGGGAATGTATAGGGACCATGTGTCATAAGGGAAAACCAAAATTACTATGTACCAGGAAGTGTTTTCAAAAAATTAGAATGGTGAAATATTTTAAAATATCTGGTAGAGAGGAGAGTCATACATGTCCGTAAGATACAAGAACAGCCAATCCAAAAACACCAAAGAAAAGAAAAATAACACAAAGAAAAAAATTTTTTTTTCTAAATCCAAGGAATAATCTTCCAATGAAAGTCACCAAGGAGATAATAAACATTGAGTAATCCTATGACAAGTTTTAAATGCAATTCTAAACGATGAAGTACAGAATGAGACATAATCTTTCCTAGAACGTAGTATAAGTTAGAAGTAAAAAAAATCTCATTTAATTATGGGAATTTAATTTTTTGAGGCTATCTCTTCAGTATTTTATATTGATACATAATTTTTATTCAATTGTACATATTAACATAATTTATGAAAACTTGCATCTTTCCAAAAAATTAAAATTATGTTCAATGATACAAATAGATGAATGTAAACACAATTAAAAAGTGGAAAGTTAGAAAATAATTATAAAACTTTAGTTAATTTATATTAGTACTCAGCTATCTTAATAGTACATTCAATTTTTATCACACATATGAATACAATTTAGTGATAATTTTAAGAAGGAAGGTTAAAGATTTGCTTATTGAGGTTTCATTATAGGTGAATTAAAATGCATTACTTTTATAATAAGCCTAATTATTAATATGTAGATATTCAGTAAAATTGGGTATACTTAATTTCTGGCTAAATATGATTTGGAACCTATTACACATTATTTGTAAGAATATATGTAGAGTGTTTTATCAGAAATTGTACTTTATTTATGTCTTTATGTATGCTTTCAATTAAATTCTTCTTGATGTGGGATAAACTCACCAATTATGCATCATTTAGTGTAAATTCACCTTGCTTTTTAATTTTGAGGCTTTGCAAAGTTCTTTGAAAGAGCAAGAAAGTGGCTTCAACTATCTGAGCACCACTGTGAAGGAGATGTCCAAGAAAGCACCTTCAGATATAATCCACAAATATCAGTTAGAATTTGAAGAGGTTGAGGGACGCTGGAAGAAGCTCTCTACCCATTTGACGGAATATTGCCAAAAGCTAGAGGAACATATGAACAAACTTCGAAAAATTCAGGTAAGCCTAGGTTTTGGTTTTTATATTCATACTTATTTTCCACATAGCAGAGCATTGTAAAATGTGATGGAAAATAGATATTTGACCCTCACAGTCCATCAAAGACATCAATGAGATTAAAAGACAAATCTTTCACAAATGAGTATAACTATTTTTCCTAAGAAAACAGCAGTGAGTTATTCTTCTTGGATTTTCTATAAAATGTAATTGATTCTTTTCACTAGCACCAGTTATAGTTCAAATTTTTGACATAATAATTTAAAACATGCATATTCCATTAGTTATATTTTCCTTAACCTGCGTATATAATTTACCACAAACATACATAAATACACATTTATTACATATGCATGTATTATATGTATAACAGGCATATATTTTCACTACCACATTTCACTCTTGAGTATATGTTTAATTTCTGCTACATTGCCTTCCCTCCAATGACTTCTATTAACTTAATATTTTAGTAGTTCTTTTTATTTAGAGACTGGGTTCCTCTGTGTAGCTTTGTGCCTTTCCTGGAACTCACTCTGTAGTCCAGGCTGGCCTTGAACTCACAGAGATCAGCCTGCCTCTGCGTCTGGAGTGCGCCACCATTGCCTGGTTTATTTTAGTAGTTCTACTACACTAATAATAACCTGGACTGAATATAGTAATTCAATAATTACATTTGAGTCTGAGATTCTAAAGTAGTTAATTGTAGCTAGAGTTTTCCAGTCCTGACTGGCCCATGGTCAAGACGAATCTCTCTCACCCACCAGTCCCACAGCCACTCAGACTCACATAGAGACTTATATTGCTTACAAACTGTATAGCTGTGGCAGGCTTCTTGCTATGTAATTCTTCTATCTTAAATTAACCCATGTCTATTAGTCTATAAATTGCCACATGGCTCGTGGCTTACCGGTATCTTTTACTGCTCAGACAAAGAAGAAATTAAAAACTTTGTCTTTAAACATAACAAAATCTTCCCTGAAAATCCTCAACCGAAGGAACTGTTTAAACTGTCAACTGCAGAGAACAATTTGTGCAAGTTCAGGTTTAGGGACGATATAAAGACACCATTACATTGAGTTTATTGTTCATCGTTTGTTTTATGTACACTAAGGGCACATTATTAGTATTATCATTCATTGTTTTGTAACTTAAAATTTCTCAAGAGGTACCATGATTTAATATTCTCTAGATGAACATCATAAAACCACATTTGGTAGTATTTTTTTTTATTTTTAACAATAACAGACTCAACACACCAATGCTCATACTATAGACCATAAAATGCAGTGTTAGAAATATATTCTTTTCAAGAATAGCTACAATGAGACATCCCTCAAACATGGAAATTGTTTTGCAGCTTATGTTCAGACATATCATAATAATCAACTGTGTTGAGAACAATCAGCACTTAGTAATACCTTAAAATTGTTTTTTCATTCCAGAATCACATAAAAACCTTGAAGAAATGGATGGCTGAAGTTGATGTTTTCCTGAAAGAGGAATGGCCTGCCCTGGGGGATTCTGAAATTCTAAAAAAGCAGCTGAAGCAATGCAGAGTAAGCTTTTTATTGGATGCTTTTCAAATGATATCTTTTATATGGACAATGCTGTTTAGTTAGCTTAGTCACTTGCTGATGGGACAGTTCCCAATACCTGAATACATTTTGGATGTACTAGCACCTAGTTCATAAAGGTCTTGGATATTGCTAAACATTCTTCAAGGCCCTCAGAAAAATTGTTTAAGCATCCAAAATATCACTAGTGCCAATATTTCCTATTATTTGGGCCTCATTTAATAAATCTTAACACAAAATTCCATATAATTTAAAGAAAACTTTAAGGTACTATTAGCTCTTACCGTAGGTTATTATTCATATTGGATTGCATTTCAATGGACTATATAATAGTGTGTGTTTGTGTGTGTGTGTGTGTGTGTGTGTGTGTGTGTGTGTGTATGTGTGTTGTACACATTGCAGGAGTGACAGAGGCTAATATCATGTGCTTTCTTCTCTTGCTTTCCATTGTATTTTTTGAGACAGTCTCTCAATGAAATTGTAGCTCATCAGTTGTCTAATCTTCCTAACTCACAAGCACTGGGTGTACATTTTTCTTTGCAAGCAGTAAAATAAGTACACACAACACTGTGGCAAGGTTTTTACATGTGTGTGTATATATGAATTTAAGTCCTCTTTTCATAGCAACATCTTTGTCCACTGACCCATCTTCTAAGCCCAACAATATATATTTCTGAAATGTTATTCATCAGACCATTGTCTTGCAACACAGAGAAAGTAATGATTCTCTTTATATAACTTGCTTTTCAAGTAAAAGCTAAAAAACAGTCATGTCATCATATTATGAACAATTATTAAAGTATTCTGTTTTTCAAAACCAAAATTACTTTGAATCTATTCATATATGAAGCACATCAATTTGACTCATTTTCTAGCAAGAAATATCGTTTATTTGAAAGTCGTCTTGAGAAAAGTATCATATATATAGATAATTCCCTGCATCATTCATGGTAAAAAACAGCCAATAAATACTTTAAGGACTTTATATAGATAGATTTATATTTTTGTTACTATTTTAATAGTCAAAATCCATATAGGATGTGGTGATGTATACATGATCATAAAATTTATGGCAGTACTTTTTCAGTCATGTTAAACAAAATGTTGTTTCCTTAGCTTTTAGTCAGTGATATTCAGACAATACAGCCCAGTCTAAACAGTGTCAATGAAGGTGGGCAGAAGATAAAGAGTGAAGCTGAACAAGAGTTTGCATCCAGACTTGAAACAGAACTCAGAGAACTTAACACACAGTGGGATCACATGTGCCGCCAGGTATGAGAATTTAGTTCACTGTGGCTAATTTGGTCAGCCTTCATCATTATCTTCATTTAAAACTTTCTTCCTGACTATGTTGACTGTCAAAAATCACTCTTATTTCAAACAAATTCACCGGTTTCTGTCATACATGACTACTTTTTAGTCAATATTTTCAATAGTACCTAATTACCATACTTTTCAAGTAAAATAAAATTTCTAAAAATGCATCAATTTTATTAATTGACTTAATAAGGATAGAATGTATATTTACATTTGCTAGGTATGGAAATAAACTCTATATTCATAACCAAGCTTGCCAATTAATACAGATATTTATTTCTAATTTCAGCATTAAATTGTGGAAAATAAAGCACATTTATAAGCAGTGTGTATCAAATAGTTCGTGCACAAAACATGACGTTTTGAACTAAAACAATGATTGCTTTTAAGTTTAGTAAATTTGAAAGTTAAAGACAAGTTTAATTTATGTATTATAGAGTCTTTGGTTATTTTTAAGTACCCTTCTAATTTGAAAAGAAATAATGCCAAAAGGTAAAAGTTAAGTTTGAAAAAGGAAAGAATTTATAATAGAAAGTCAAAGCAAATATGTGCAGTTAATAAAATCATTGACAAATGCTTAACTGTTCTGTTAACTCACAGATGAGATAGCCCTGGGTCAGCTAACTTGTAGTCATTGATAGAAGAGTTGCCCAGAGTAAAAGAAAAAAAACTTAAATGGTGGATTATATCACTGAAAATTTCCCACAAGGCCTGGATGAAATGTATTAATTTTAGTAAGAACCTAAACAGAGGACTAGAAAGAATACAAACATTTTCTGTCCTTTAAAATCTTGTTTCTGTCCCCTTTCCTCCATTTTACTTGTATAGTGTAGCATAATTTTTTTTTACTACAAATCTTGACTATTAGTCTTTTTAATACTCTGTATCTTCAAATGCTTCATAAGATTCAGGGAAAGAATAGTAACTATCTAAAAATTTAATATCACATTGGCTTAGGTTCTTTATGGGTTCACTGTGAAAAATATGTGTTTATTAGAATAATTGTCAAATTTACTGTTGATGAGATATATGAGTGAAAAAAATTATTTGTATTTGGTAGATAGGTTGGTATATTGACCTAGAGAGAAAAAAGTAATAACTATATTGCATTCATTATGATTGATTTGTAATTCTACAGATATTTAGTGGCAAAAAATGCTAAAAATTTCATTTCTCTGAAACAGAGCATTATTTAAAATACAGAAACTTGTTCAAGTTCCGAAACTTGAAACAGTTCAGTTTCTTAAACAGAAACACCATTTAAGGAGTTATACTTGAATGGAAGTGAGGCATTTTACACTAACTGTAATAGCGTGGGGAAACATTATAACAAGCTGTTCAAATATAGGGCATTGTTTTAGAAGTTGTAAGTTTTGCTCTTTTTCTGATAAATGACTACTAAATTATAGAACAACTTAAATTAAATTTTCAGAAAGTGATGTGGTTTTAAAAACTAGACTTTATAAAATGGGTCTATTGCTCCATGATCCAGGGTTTGTCTAGTTTCAGGGATTCCCGTGGTCCAATCTTCAGCACTAAAAAAAAAATAACCAATAAAACAAAAACGAAACAACACCATCAGACATCCAATTCAAATTTCTATATACATTATTTACCTTTATTTTCAAATACAGTATATATATATATATATATATATATATATATATATATATATGAGCAGCTTTTAATTTTCAGTAGATAAGTTAATGGTAGAACCTATCTATATAATAATTTGTTTATTCCCCCATTAAAGCATACAGAGAATTTTTTCTAATCAACTGCTATTTCTAAGATACATTGAAGTGCATATATGCAACTCTATATACTCTGATTTACTCTTAAGTATTAAAAAGAGAAATTTAGATTCAAGAGTATTAGACTGTAAACCTATTTGACTAATATAATACCTTAAGGTTGCATGCTATGGTGTATTATTCTTTTTTTTTTTTTTTTTTTTGGCTTTTCGAGACAGGGTTTCTCTGTGTGGTTTTGCGCCTTTCCTGGAACTCACTTGGTAGCCCAGGCTGGCCTCGAACTCACAGAGATCCGCCTGGCTCTGCCTCCCGAGTGCTGGGATTAAAGGCGTGCGCCACCGCCGCCCGGCTATGGTGTATTATTCTTAACAGGCATGGAAACTTCTTGCCTCCTCTTCCAATTGATCATCTTCACTATTTATTCTTTCCCTATTTTATAAATGAAAATATATTAATTTTGGTTACTTAACTATTAGTCATATTTGAACATCCTCTGCAAGTACACCCATTATACATGTGATCCATATTACATAACATCATATACGATGTATATCTTTCTATCTATCTATCTATTTATCTATCTATCTATCTATCTATCTATCTAATATATATATATGTGTGTGTGTGTGTGTGTGTGTGTGTGTGTATTGTACATAGCCATATATTCTTTTTAATGACCCATATGTACATTTTCCACTGTTTTGCACTTAGGTTTATGAGAAATTATAATAACCATAAGAATTTAAATACTAGAACATTTAAAATTGCACTCAAAATATACATAAATACAAAGTAGCCACTTGTGTATGTGCCAGTAAAATTATTAACTGCACATATTTTCTTTTTTTTTTGTTTTTTTCTCTTCACAAAGAGAATTGCTACATAAAACAATGAGAATATTATAATATAGCAACCTGGTTATTTTATTAACTATGCTAATTAAAAGGCTCCATCTTATATTTATAACTGTACAGCATATTCAAATCCCATACGTTTTTGTTCTCCTTTGTTTGTTTTTTGTTGTTGTTGTTGTTGGTGGTGGTGTTTTCTTATTGTTTGTTTTCTTGTTTTTGTGTAGAAATAGAGTTTAATCAAAGGCTGTTGTATAACTCACTTACTTGGTATGATCTCATGATAGCCTCCCAGAGTGTTGGATTGTAATCATAGTCCACAATGATTGGCTGCCATGAGGTTTTATTATTCTTGTGTATAAGAATATATTGACAGTAATTATGAAATAGCATTCTAAATGTAATGAGCTTCATTGAAGTGTTAGTCTGATCTATTGCTAAATTAGTCCATTTTCCCAGAAAATAATAGTGGGTCTTTCTAGTGTTTTCTTCAGTTGCATACCCTGGTCAGCTCTGCTGGTCTGATCATCAATCCTCCAAATTCCTTTTAGTGAGGGATAGTTGTGAGAAAACCACAGTACCAGTCTCTGCTAAATTGGCCATGCATTGAGTGAAACAATACCAAGAGGACCCAGGTCATCTCAATTGCCCCTTTCACAGGATAGGAAGTGAAAGCTGGTTGTTTATGTCATTACACATGGCCCTTCTTGCTTTACCTTTGCTGTCTAAGCTCTTTGTTATTTATATACTGATCAGTAAGTAATATGGTGAAAATAATGCATTTCATTGCCAATCCTTAATGTTTTACCTTTTGTTGTTTTTGTTTGTTGGATTTTATGAAAGGTCTACACCAGAAAAGAAGCCTTGAAAGCAGGTTTGGATAAAACTGTAAGCCTCCAGAAAGATCTATCAGAGATGCATGAGTGGATGACACAAGCTGAAGAAGAATATCTAGAGAGAGATTTTGAATATAAAACTCCAGATGAATTACAGACTGCAGTTGAAGAGATGAAGGTAAAAGAAAACAAAGAAAGAAAAAATAAAAAGAATTAGAACATCGTTGAAATTGTGATTCTGAAACATCTATAGTTTTTGTACCACTGTTCTTTTAGGAACATGGAAATAGTGCTTATAGTGACTTTCAAAAAAAAGAATCCCAATAGTTTTATAAAATAGAGAATGATTACTGATTATAAGACAATTGATGGGTGTGAGATGCTACTTTGCAAAAAGTTTGATTTGTAAAACATCTGTGAGGAAGTACATTTTATGTGAGAGATGTGAGTCATGAGAAAAAGCCAATGTTCAAAAATAAATTACAGAAGCACATTCCTGTCACAGGAAATACTTCTAGCAAAGATCCTATGATGAATTGGGAAATGAAATAATAAAGAACTGCCTACACCAAAGCAGTAGAACAGAGGCTAACTAACTTGAGATTCATTTGAGGCAATGGATAAATATCCATTAACACCATAGTTGTGAAGGCTATGATAGGAATCCGCATTCCGAGTAAACAGAGTAGATCTTTTAAGGATTTCTCATTAAAATCTATGATGATTTCAAATTTGACTGTGAGAAGGTCATGATGAGACTAGCTATATTAACAGTAGGTACGTTGAAGGTAATACAAATCATTCTTTCTCTGCTAATCAGAAATACATAAGGCAAGTCCCCAACTATGACTACTCATGTTTTATCTGTAGTAGAACAACATGGATGGATGATATGCCATCCCATTCCATTTTGACCTTATAAATTTTAGTCTAGCACCTTTATGATTTTCAAAGTCCTTGCCAGCTGTTGTGTTCCATCCCATAATATCACAGTTATCTGGTGGCTTTTTTCTATCACCTCTAATAAAAATCAATAAATACAATTTCAGATCTCTGAGAAGATAAATGCTGCTTTATTAGCTTCTTTGTTTCTTGCTGGATTCTTTGGTTTGGCTCAGTGTCTTGCTCAATGTCTATCTGTCTATTCTGTATCTTTATAAATACTCCATGCTAACTTTTTGTGCCACTGGAGCAAGCACTGTTGATTTTATATATATATATATATATATGCCACCCAGTGAGATAGTTTTTTTTTTATTTCCATGGATGGAGAGTCCTAGTGTGCTTCAAATTTTAAAATTGTGAAAACAATTGTGAAAGTAAGTAAATGGTCCAATCAATTTGTTTGCTTTGATTGGCATGTTTAAGTAATTGGTCTAGCTAAACAATTGGTGCAATATGCTGGAAAATTGAAAGAGAATGACTCAAGCAGCCTCTGGCAACAGCAGCTAAGGGAACTAGCAAAAATTCCAATTTCTTGACATTGTGCTTATAAGTCAAGGAATTTCTTGAGGTCGGTTTGCTGTCTGGTGTACAATAATGGGACTTGCTATAGATTTCTAACTGTGCTCATTTGAAGAGCAATTTCATTTGTATTGTTGCATATACCAGCAGACTTCTTTGCATATCACTCACTTTGAGACAAAACAAAGATCTCCTTTATGTTTATTTTTCCCTGTCATTAAAATGACACTACTGCTTGGTAATTGCTTTTTATTTTTTTACAAGTAAACAAAAATTTTCTTCTGTCATAAAGGAACTAAAGGGAGTTTTTGATGAGCAGCCTCCTACTTTGAATCTCTTTTGGAGACCATCATTGATTATATTCTTAAACTTTGTAACAAAAAATCTTTAAATTTATTTTAATATATTTCCTTTATTAATATAGCTCTGCTTCTGTTTTAATCCTGGAGCTTAGGAAAACATAGACTTGTAATAAAAAGAAATAATTGAAGCATACATTTTTTTAATGACTAAAGCAGTGATATTTGTTCTTGAGATGGCATCGGAATGACCTGGAGAAGGTGTATAAAAAATTACTTAGAGGCTGGTGAGATGGCTTAGTGGCAAAAGTGCTTGTTGCCAAGCTAGAGGACCCAAGTTCCAACTCTTGGGCCCAGTGGTGGAAGGAGAGGACCATTTATCACAAATTGTTTTTTGACATCCAGATGTATATATACGCTCAGATGTAATAAGTAATAAATGATAAGTAAAATATATGATGCTGTGCCCAAGATTCAGAATTTGAATATTACTAATGTGAGGCAACTGATTATTGTATATGAATATATGAATCTAACTAGATATATGTGTCTAGCTATATATATATATATATATATATATATATATATGACCTAAATATATATATATATTTAGGACCAAATTACAGTAGCCAAAATCTGCATTATTTTGCCTGAGATCCACTTTAAATTTTGTGATATGCTACAAGTATTAGGAAAGTAAAATTGTCTCACCTGCCTTTCAACTAATGGTGGAAGAATATGTGTATACAATGCTGCAATTCCCTTACCCATGAAAGCAAAAATTCTGAGGCAAACGTTTCCCAGAGCTTTCCTGTAGGACTAATGTCTACTCATTAATTAAATTGGCTAGAAATATCCTTAGATCTTCATAATTTTTCTTCACTGTCTTATGCCCACTATATATTCAGCTAATGACATTTCCTTCATAAGCAACATACACTTCATCTACTTATAGGTGGTATTGTTGAAGTCAGGAATAATCTAAACTACAGATTCTCATTCTCTCTCTCTCTCTCTCTCTCTCTCTCTCTCTCTCTCTCTCTCTCTCTCTCTCTCTCTATCTCTGTGTGTGTGTGTGTGTGTGTGTGTGTGTTCTAAAATTCATTTTCACATTGTAGCAATATAGGTTAAGTGTACATGGCCAACTAAATTACACAGACTACTTTCTTATGAGGATTATTTGGTTTCTTAAACTCTTTGCAATGAGCAAAACACACATGGTGGGGAATCCTTGATCGTATGAACAAAACAAAAGCAACCAAAACATTTGTGTTAATGCCAGATGATGTTGAAGAACAACTGGGGCCTTTGCATACATAGGTTATTGCCAATGAGTAGGGATAACTCTACTATCCAATCACTTACCTGTCTAGAAGGAAAATAAGAATGAGACTGAAGTCATGATGACTAAAGAAGCCCCAGCCATTCAACAGAACCATAACAGTGGACAAGGGCGTGTTTTATATGTTTTGCTATAGCTAGTGTAGATGTAAGATATTTTATACATATATAATATTTACATATATATTACTGAGCGATTGTGTTGAAATGAGCTTCTATGTGTACAAAATGGATGTTCCAATTTTTAAGCTTTATGAAACACATTTTCTTCCATGGGAGAACAGCAAGAATAGCTGTGAGACATTGTTCTTTAGCTTTCTAAACTTCTCAGTTCTCAAGTACTGAAGAAATTTTTTTCAACAAACTATCCCACATATAACATTAAGCAAATTTTTCTGTATTTAGTATCTTTAGATTTAAATGGTGTCTTCACTAAATTTAATACTGATCCACCTGAATAATGTATAAGTGATGTTAATCATTGACTTCTAAATATTTTTAAAACCTATTATTAGAATATTTGCTTCTTAACTACTTAAAAAAACTTTGTATAAACACACGCATACACACATATGCATATATAGATACCCATGTGCAGATAATTACCAAATGCTTCTTTTTTTGACACCAAGTTTCATTTTGCCTAATGTGGCCTCTCATTATTATATATCCAAGAATGACCTTAAAGTCCTTTTCTTCCTTCCTTTACTGCCAAGGAAGAGCGAAAATTATTATTATTAAAAGGCTATGATATTTTGACAGCATTTATTTCAAGTTTCTAATTGTATATATATCTGAAAAGAAAGAATTGGAATAAGCATTCATTTGTTACTATCTTAATAAGAATGCTACCAGGAAAAAAATATGTGATTTATAATAATGAATATTAGAAATGATAATGTTGACTTGCTTTTAAAAGAATATGCTTTTCTTTTCAGAGAGCTAAAGAAGAGGCACTACAAAAAGAAACAAAAGTGAAACTGCTAACTGAGACTGTAAATAGTGTAATAGCTCAAGCTCCACCTGCAGCACAAGAGGCCTTAAAAAAGGAACTTGAAACTCTAACAACCAACTACCAGTGGCTGTGTACCAGGCTGAATGGAAAGTGCAAAACTTTGGAAGTTAGTTGTTTTTCTTTGTTTTTATCAGTTCTGTCTCATATGAATATTAACTAAGAATCTGCGCTTTGGTGTAAAGTGATATAAGCTAGAATTCCTCATTCAGACACTTATGTGTAAATTTGTGCCAGTTGCTTAACTTGCAAAACCTGTTTCCAGTTTGTGAATGATCAAAATAGATTTTGTGATGTTAGAGAGATGGCTTTGTGTTTATGAATGTGTTCTGCTCTTCCATTTGATCAGAATTTAGTTTCCAACACCCAATTTAGGCTGTTCACAAGTACCTGTAATTCAAGTTCAAGAGAATCTGATGCCCTTTTCAGGCTCCAATGGGAACTTGCAAATATGTTATACATGGAGACACCCACACATGGACATAAATACAAAAATATCTTTTAAAAAATAATAGTACTTGCTTTACAAAAATATTTGTTTTAAAAATAGTATTTGTTTAAAAAAGAAAAGTACGTTAGGTTTAGAAATTAAGTTAACTATATGACTAAAAATACTTAGACAACAATTATATTTTCACCGGTATTGTCAGGGTACAAAATTTATAAATATTAGATTGTATATGTAATATTAAATTGTTTTCCATATATTTGAATGTGCATAAATTTATTTGAATGTGCATAAACTTATTTCTCTTACATGTAAGCATTCTATTTATAGCTATTTTATTTTGATCATTTTCATAATCACTGGGCCCTGTAGGCTACTTTATAAGACATAATGCCTAAATAGCTCCTTTTTGACATTTTCTATTTATTCATTATCACAAATCCTGATTTATTTTTCCCACTTGGCTTATTCTCTAGATTGTTTGTGTGAATGTAGTGTGAATGTGCTGGGATTAAAGGTGTGCTCCACCACCGCCTGGCTCAAATAAGTTTATGCACATTCCAAATGTTTAAAAGTCCGAAGTTCAAAGTCTCTTTTGATATTCATGCAATCTCTCAACTGTAATCCCCTATAAAATCAAAATAATAATAATAAACAGATCACATACTTCCAACATATAATGGCACAGGATATACATTAATATTCAAAAGTGGAGGAACGGGAGTATAGTGAATAAATACTGTACCAAAACAAGAACAAAACTAGCTGGGCAAACTCAAAACTCTGTATCTCTGTGTCTGATGTCAAAATGCTTTTCAGATCTCCAACTCCTTTCGGTTTTGTTTACTGCAACACACTTCTTTCTCTTGGGCTGGCTTCTATCCCTGTTTGCTGCTCTCCTCAGCAGGAATCCCATGGCTCTAGCACCTCCAACATCTTATGGTCTCCAAGGCAATCCAGGCTTCACCTTCACAGCTTCACAAAATGGCCTCTGTGGGCCTCCATTCAGGGACACCCCTGACAATGGCTAGCTTCATTGGCTTTTTTTAGTCTTGGGGGCAAATTCCATAGCCCCTTTCTTCTATCCTTAACCCCTGAGCCTCATGGCCAAATCTACTAAGTTCTGCTGCTACTGTGGTTGAAATATGGCCCCCTTGTACAATTACATCTTCATCAGCTTTCTGTTTTTAATGATTTCCTTCACTGCCTAAGCATGGCTGTTGTGAAACTTGCTCTGTAGACCAGGCTGGCCTTGAACTCAGAAATCTGTTTACCTCTGTCTCCTGAATGCTGTAATTAAATGTATATATTACCACATCTGGACCTAAGCTGTTCTTTGATTCCTTTTCACAGTTAGAAGCTTAGCTAGGTGGGATCTTGCCTTCAGATTACCACTCCCTTTATTCCATTTAACATCAGGCTTTACATTAATCTGTTTATCTCCTTGAATATAGGACTTAGCTCCATCCCACATTTTATTTCAAGTTTAAATAATAGGTTTAATACATTTTGTATTTTTCCTTTCTGTGTTTTCTCCTTATAGATCTTTAGAAGAGTGACCACTAATAACCATGCCACAGGGTCAATCCAAAGGCTCTGCCAAAAGGATTAATCGAAATATCATCACTTTAGCCTCAAGCAGACTCTTAGGACAAGGGGAAACACAGCCACATTCTTCATCAAAATATCACAAGATCTCTAGGCAACACTAAAATTCTGCTCCTCTAAAATCTTTTGAGCCAGGCCCACACAGTTCAAATCACCCACAGCACCACTATCTTCCATGCTCCTACATGTATGTCACATTAAGCAGCACTTATAACATTCCACTGCTTTCCCAAAGTCCCCAAAATATGGTAAGGTCTATTACAACAATCATTCAGTGCCTAGTATAAACTTCTGTCTTAGTTGTTGTTGCTGTGAAGAGACACCATGACTGCAGCAACTCTTATAAAGGAAAACATTTAATTGAGTCTGGATTACAATTTAATATGGCCACTATCATCATAACAGGAAGCATGGCAGGGTGTAGGCAGACATGATGCTAGAGAAGGAACTAAGAGTTCTACATCTTGATCCTAGGGCAACTGAAGTTAAGCCTGTGTACAACAATGAGCATACCTTGAACATACAAAACCTTAAAGCGTGCCTCCACAGTGACACACTTCCTTCAACATGGCTACACCTCCTGATAATGCCATTCCCCATGGGCCAACCATTCTAACACATGAGTCTATGGTCATACCTATTTAAAACATCACAGGGATTTGATATAGAGATGTCTTAGAGATGAACATTCTGTAATATATTGTCTCCACCTTAATGAGTTAAAGGTCTCTGTGTTAATCACCATCTACTGCAAAAAGAATCTTCTTGGATGAATGTTGAAAGATGCACTCATCTATGGATAACAGTCCTCTAGTAGTCTACTTAATGCTATGCATATTTATCAGAATAATTACAAAATGTTCTTTCCTAGGGCTATGAATGATGTAGTTTTGGATTCTTGGCTGTGTTAACATTTCTAGGTATGACTTCTGTCTTGTGGCACTGACATTAAACTAAGTAAAAAAGTGGTTAGTTACTCTCACAACATTAAGGCCACTATTATAGAAGTGGGCACATCTTGCTAGACCAATTATTGTACCTTCCAGGTTTCACAGCTAGGTAAGACTGAAGATTTTTTCTACTGATTAATGTATGTAGAACCTTCAGCACTATGAAATATAAAAAGTAAGGATGAAGCTTTCATGTCAGTCCTAGCTTGATTTCTACTTGCATGATTTAATTATGTGGTGTGTTCATAAATAGGATGTTACCATTAAGTGCTGTAGGGCAAGCAAGAGCCATGGGGATATCCTGCAATGTATGGGGGTCTGTTGGAAACTGTAAACTAACAACACGAAAAGATGAACTCTATTACTGGTGCTGGGGTGTTTATGTGATGGCCTATGTTGTCTGTGAGAGACATTGTTGCCATGGTATAGGGTAATGCAATTTAATATATATATGTACATATATGAAAACTTCTTCACTAGTAGGTTTTCACTTTGCTTTTTTAAGAAGTATATTATTTTAGTTAATCCTCCTGATACTCTTTCTTCAACCCTGCTTTCTCCTCCTCACCCTATTTAACATTCCCTTCTCCATAAATCTCAATTATGAATCCATACTATGTACATTATATTTCTTCTCTCTTAAAAGCCACTAATGGTCCCTTACTTGCCAGTGTTAGTTTTCTATTAATGAAAATACTATTCCCTTGTCTTCTGAGTTTCTGTGCTGATAAGAAGTCTACTATCAAAGTAGTCACATTATTATTTTGTCTGATGCATTTTAATTTTCTCTTTGTCATGCTCTGCAGTTTTGTCTTATTTTATGTGAGTATAGATTTATGTTCACTTTTACTTCATCAACTGATATGATGATGAGAACAGATATATTGTTCCTTTCTATAGTTGGTTCTCTATTACAATTTTTGAAGATTGTCTTTTCTCTAATCTGCAGATTGTTCCTAAGACCATTTTTTCTTAATAGAATAATCTTTCTGTTTTATAAAGCATTTTTCAATTTTCTAGTAAATTTTCTGTATTATTTCCTTTATTTGTCCAATTTAGACTAATTTCTGAAGTCTAAGATTAACTTCTTAGTTTTTTAATTGCTTGTGCCTTAAATCTGTTCATCTGTACACATATTTATCTCTAATTGCATGCATGTGTGTTTACTTTTTCAACAAGTGCATTTCTGTAAATCTGACACTTTCTCATAATTTTCTGTTTTGTATAATCATAGCTTCTCATTAAGACAATTGAAACATTTACCATCTGTTTGATTAAGTCTCACCTCACTGAATTATAAGAATTTAATAATTTTAGTTTCCAAATAACAAAACCACTAAACCAAGCATACCAAATTCTATTAGCTTTCCAGTTTGGGGCTTTTTCTCATAGTGATATATTAATATTTACATCTGGTTCCAAATCTTTTTATTCTCTCATAGCTTTCAAAATATAATAAGATTTAAATATCAGTATTATAGTTTATACATTCAAGTTATTCTGTAGTTTAATTTTTTTAGTAATTAAGCAATATTTACTGAATTGAGAATAAGAAAAATTTTATATTAATACTGCTCCTCTTTCCTAGGCTCTAAGAATCAATCTTTCAATGTTAGTAGAAGTAAGAGAGGATATTTCTTTCATATTAAGATCTTTTTCTTAAATCCCATACTTACCTTTCCTTTTGTTAATTCTTAAATATGTCTGTGACAATTCTTCTGTTGCTACTTGCCATATTAATCTGACTGTTCCACCTTGTTCTCTATTGATTCTAAGTGCTTTATTAGAAACATTGGTTGTTCTCATTCATATGAATTTTCAATCCCCTAAACTAAAAGGTCTTCAGGTGTTCATGGTGCCTTGAAATATTTAATTTAACAAGATTTTGGGGTAACTATTTCCCACAATTTTATACCATATCCCCTTGAAAGTTATCTCTCTTTGCCCATTGTCTTAGTGGTTCCCAGACATTTTATTTATTCATATTATTTAACTCTTTGGCTCTGGAAGAATTAATCCTTCATTCATGAGTTGGCAAATCAAAATGCTTTCTTTGATTCCTCTCAACTATAAATTCAAAGCCACTACCCCATTCTTAATATG